ACTTTTCAAAACAAAAAATTAATGAGTCCAATAAAAATCGAAACCAAAGATAAGTACTTTAAAAAGAAACATTTTATTTTTTACAATCCACATTACTCAATCTAATTTTTGTTTTATCACACGCCGTGAAGTGTCGATTTGCATGTTGGATGCTCTGAATTTCACGCTGCAAAAATATAATACCGTCACAGTTTTAAAGTACGTCAATCACCTCCTTTATCACGGTCACAGAAATACCGATTACATAACAATAAAAATATCTCCACCATATTTTAACATTCTTACAGATTGCAGAACTGCAATTTAAACGCATTTGGTATAATGCAGATAGCAGAGATGTTAGTGAACATTGGTTGCATAGAAGATTTAAATTTGGATATGAATCCAAACGCGCAGGAAAATTATCATTTGCTATGTACACCTGCAGGGAGGTACACAATTTTTAGTGTAACCTGGTTATAGCGCGTTGTAATAAATAATTATCTTCAGCTTGAAATATTTATCCTTGAAACTTTGTGAAATCACTGATGAAGGTGTAATGAAAATTGCGAGCGAATTAAAGTACCACAACCCGCCGAATGATCCGAAATTGATCATTTTAAATTTGGCAAACAATCATATTACAAAAGATGGAGCAGGTCACATAGGCAAAATGCTACGAACGAATAGGTAAACTTACCGATATTCAATCTGTGTATCTCTTACTACATCGCTAATGCAATTATAGATCTCTAAGATGTTTAGTTTTACTGGGGAATAGAATATGTGACGAAGGAGCATCATTGATATTACGCGAACTGAAAATGTACTGTAATCTCTTCTAATTGGATACTACATCAATTAATATTTAATTCAATTAACTCATTTAATTACTGAAATTAGAATTACCTTAGAGCATGAAGAAATTGTAAAGATTCGACGTAAAAAATTCGTTGAACTAGAATTATTGGATGAATGGGTAACTTTAAAATTACTTCTTTCCTGAATGTAAGACTGATAATTTGAATTAATTATTTAAAAACAAAACTAGATGGAACAAAGGGGAAGCGAAGAGATCGATAAGACTATAAACGAGGAGCCGTTAAAAAAAAATGCTAAGTCACGGACACGTCAGAGTTTAACGAAACGATCTAAAAAATGTAAAACTTATACAAATTACGAATTATCCTTCTCTTTGAATTAAGATATTGCTTACAGTCCTTCAGGAAACTTCGATAAAACCGAGGGAAGATGGAAGTTTTATTCAAGGAATTCAAGCCGCTGAATCCATGCAAGTAATTAAAAGTTATAATAGTTATCTGTAATAATGACATGATAATTTTAATTTATACGCCATCATTTATAGAAAATTAGGATGATCTTAGGACACGAGAACTCTTATCCTTTTAGAACAGAAAGCTTCCCAATGAATGGAGAAATAATGGCAACTGGAAATTTAGAGTTACAATATTTAGACTTAAGCTGTAATTACTTTTATATTACTCTTACTACTATGAAGGATTGGCACAAAACTATTTTTCTATATAGACAATTACTTGACGACGAGTATTCTTCAGGAGTTGCTTAACTGTCTTTACTATCAGAATTACATGCTACTTGGAGATACAAGCAAGGGTCTCTTATTCATTCTGATCGAGGTAATAGATAATACTCCTACAACTGGTTGTATATGCTTATAAATCTATATTTTAAGGGAGGAAATATTAGAGATGAAAAAAACAAAGATTGGATTACATTCGAATCACTTTTGCGACAGAGGCAAAGCGGAGAACGTTTGTCAAACAATGCTTTTCGAGAATTTGTATCAGAAGAAGCTATAATCTTACGACAAAATGGCATCAGCCTTAATGCGTGAGATTCTTGAACATTATACATATACTACTTCGAAATGTATTATTTAACATAAAGGAATGATACCTTAATTGATACCTTCTATACAATACTGGGAAAATATAAAAATTCTTAATAGACTAAGAGCTAATGACAAGAATTTAACGTGACTCGATAAAAGGGTAATTTATACGTAAAATGTTAATATTATTCTAAATTAAGAGAAAGCTTAATTAGCAGAAGTCAGTTTGTGGTCTGAAAGCGTGGGTGGAAAAACAAATATGCAAATTTTGAAGAGAAAAAAGTGATAAGGTATAAAGTTGAAAATTGGTATTTACATTGTTTTTGTAAATATAATGGAGGCTAAAAATTGATAGAAGCACAGGTGGAGACTAAAGGATTGGTAGAAGTCATCAAAGTTATAAAAAAATTACTGAAAAATACGTGATAAGGTACACTTCTGCCAGTTTGCATATTTCTATAAAACTGTGTGCAGTTGGCAGAAGAAGTAATGGAGAACTAATATTGAGAAAATTGAGAAACGCATGTGATGCGTGGTAAACGCTTATCAGCCGTTGTTGTTATCCTTTCGCTGTTTTATATGTGTACGTCATCAGGTACATTTCTGCCATTTACTACTGCACATACTATCATGCTGTGATATTAATTGCAACCGAAGGCATACAAAGATTGGAACATATTCTTTGTGGAGACATCTTATTTGAGGAAGCATTATGAGGATAACGAAAAAATGACGAAATTAATGCAAAAGAAAGAGGAAATGGTCTGATCACGCTGAAGTCTCTTATCGTTTGAACTTTTGACCCTTCATGCGAGTGCGAGGCCAGGTTTATACGCAACGAACGACTGGTAATATTGCTAGTTTCGAGTTTCAACGCGTTGCGATTTGCCACAATGTTATTTCACATCGCTGCCGCGGCAGTGCTGACGAACATCGCAGTCTTGGAGATCTATTCGTTCCTCGAATTGCCGGAAAATGCGAATATGCAGTACCTAATGGACGAGGTAAATTTTCTAATTCTAGTTTCATTATATAATAATATTTACAGAAAGTATATATTGAGGTAAAAGTGAGCGCTTCCGCTATATATTATAACGTGATATGTATATTAATTAAGTAATATATGCCAAAAGAGAAGAATAAGTGGAAATATTGCAGATAATTGTTTATCGGTGTAAGAGTACAGATCTGGAAATCGAATATGAAGTAAACATGGATAAGAAAAGTAGTCGTGGATAATTTTTGACTATAGAAATTTCTATATTTGATTAAAAGATAGTGCCTACTAATCTAATTATCAGGATATAATTTTTAACGCAAGCAAATACCGGAAATGCATTAGAGTAGGTGACGAGTACGCAGCATCCGGAAAAGAAGTGAACACTGATGACCTCTAGAGTGTCGAAGACATCAAAACATGTACAACAGTATTGGTGGTATTGGTTAGATCAGGCGCTGTCAGGCGCCAGGTCTATCAGTAAAACATTTGTGATACATTTTGTTAATTACTGATAAGATTCGTACTCAAAAGAACACAGAACTATTTACAGTTCTTATTTTGTGGTAAATTATTGAATGTGAGCAATTCATTCCCTGCGGACGGAAAACGAGAAATAAGTTTTGGTTTGCAATAACCAAGTTTTAGAATCGACCAGCGGCACGATCTCTTTAAACAGTGCTAGAATTGGTCGTACCGTTATCAACACTGAGGAGAATTTATTAATAGACTACACCCATTGTCAGTGGCACTATCTCTTTAAAAAAATCCCAAACTGATTCCGCATTGTTATTGAAGACAAAGTGAATTTTTAAAATATCTTGACGAGTAACGCTATCTCTATTAAGATAGAATAAAAAGATTCATTTTTAAAGTTGCGATTAGCAGTTACAATGGAAGATAAGACCTGCTGATTTAACTGATACGCAAATTACACCTCAAAATGTACGAAAATTTGTTCAAGAGCCCACTCCACCGTGTGTTTGTATATGGAACACTAAAACGAGGAGAACCCAATCACAAATTGCTTCAAGACTCTGAAAATGGTTACGCGAAATTTTTGGGACTTGGAAAAACCTCCGTTCCATATCCGTTAATAATTGCAACTAATTATAATATACCGTTCCTATTGAAGAAACCTGGCTTTGGCCACGTGAGTACTGAATGCATTTACTATTATCATTTTGGATAACGTTGTTAATGCAACTATCTATTTTTAAGAAATTCGTGAGTAATGTAGCCATCTAACGCTTATAATTTCTCAAGGGATTTTGGATATAATTTTTTAATCAAATCTTCTGTGTTCAAATGTCACAAAGTAGATTACTAAAGTAGATTGTGCTTAATTTTAATTTTATTATTTTATTATTAACATTACCTTCTATTAGTGTGAATTTGAATTTTTGTGTGTGTTATTCGAACTAACACGATTAAACTTTTGAAATCATCTAATCCACAATTAATTTGAAATTAAACGTACATTAATCTTTTTTTATGTAGCAAGTCTTCGGCGAAGTATACGATGTTGACACAATGATGTTAAAAAAGTTAGACGAATTGGAAGAGCATCCAGCATTTTACAAACGGTTTGAGGATAGCGTTCATTTTGCGCCAGAAGCTAAAGTCAAATCGCCTGACAAATTTGAAGAGGTAAATATCTTTAAAGGCGCGCTGATTTTCTACGACATTATTTTACTTAAGGAACTCTACATTATTGTTTTAAAACAAAAAGGGAAAATAAATATTGCATCTAAAATATCTTCAATTGCCGAGAATCATAATGATATAAATTGAACTTTAGAGACATTGATTTCATTGACTTCTCCTCAAGTTAACAAATTTCTAGTATTTTTCTACTACATCAAACGAGAAAGAATGAAAAGTACTGATAGCATCACAATTCTCGACCCTCCAATTAATACACACAATTGTTATTAAATTAATCGGCTCAATTTATTATCAAACTTGTTTCAGGTCAGTACCTTAATAAAGGTCTGGATATATTTTCTACCAAAGTTCAAGGCGTCCTTATTGGAAAGTCCAATGTACAAGTCGTACAGCAGCGAGGGAAGTCACGGACTCAAATACTGCGAGAAGTATGTTCGCGACCCCTCGTACGATCACAAAAAAGAAGTTCAATGACATTTTATCCCCGAAAATATGTATTTGTTTCCAGCGAGGAGAGTACAATAAGGCCGGAAGACCTGTTCTGACCAAGCTGTTTTGCATAATATTTTGTTGTCCCTTCGTCATATGAACGCTTCGACGTTATGTTGTTACTCGTGGTAGTTAATAAAAATGTAATCTAATCCAATGCATTTCTTGCTACCGGTAACGGCGTTCCTTATTGAATTCCTTCTCTCTTAGGAAGACCTTTAGGGTTGCCGAGAATTATTCGACCGCAACGAGTTCACAATTTAAACGACGACAATAAGTGTTTCGCAAAGTAAATTAATCGCTGAAGAGATGATTCGACTCGTGTAATAGGATGTCGTATTAAAAATTCGGAAAGCACCGTAAAACTTCATATAACAAAAATGAATGATGCCCTCGTAACACTTATGTACATTTTCGAAAATATATCCCTTAATGTATATCGTACAGTATAATGTACGATTATAAACCTGCAAAAGACAGATCTTTCTTCTTTCCTTTTATTATTCATTCCACACAAAAGTCCGGCACGAGTATTGTAAGTTTTTTTCTTAAATTGTGTACAATGGAACGAAATAAGAAACATCATGAGAAACAAATTCATGGTGTGTTCGACTCTGTGCTCTTCTCCGTTATTCATTATTATTTAACTTCATCGTTCATCGCATTACACCCCACACTTTTCCTTTCGCGCACTCTTTCGCTTCATTTTTTACCATCTTCTTCCGGTTTAACAGTCGTGATAAAATTACTTCAACTATTCTCTAACAAAGACAGGCGAACTCTTTGTCACCCTTCGTACGACTTCACCTTTTTCTTCTTCAATATTAGATTTTAGCGTTTGCCAAATCACAAGTGACATCAAACCCCCTTTTACCTCTTCGTTATTGGTCAAAGTTCGTATTCTCGGTTGTGCGAAGAATTGATTACAATCGATTTCTGGGGTTGATGATGCTTGTATAATACAGGGTCGGCCAATCAGTTCGTATACGTTTAAAAAGATAATAATACAAGAATTCGTAACACCTTTCAAATATTACGTAATGCGCCAGAATTCGAGTTTGTAAATGTATGAACATAAATGGATCGTTATGAACCTTGTATTTTGCGAAACGAACAAACTGATTAGCCAAACCGAACAAGCAAGTTTCGATTCTCGCATATGGAATTTGTGTATTTCTACGTAAAAATGCCCGTAAAAAGTGCCTTCGATTCTCGAGATAGAACAATTGTGACGGTCAACTGCGCAACCAAAGAGACTATGTCTATCGCAGCACTAATTTTGCACTCGTTCAGCACGCAAATTTTGTTCTCCTTTTCCCAGAACCAGCGTGAGTCGTGAAGTCACCGACACATCGTTGATGATTCGCAAAATTAAAATGCTTAAGGCAGTACTTATAAGTTGTCCTAGGAAATTTATTATAAATAATCACATTTTTCTTATCGTTCACTATACAAGGCTCCGTTTCTTTCCCTACCTCGTTTCTGTTTGTCTGTATATGTATGTGTACGCTCATGTTTTCTTCTTCGTTTCGTTTCTTGCAATTACTTCTCGTCTCGTATTCCACCCTCACACAAATAAGCGTTAGCAACCTGTGCCATCCAACCTCATGCTAACGCTGTCATTTTTATGAGGGTGGAATACGAGAAATAATTGTTACAAACAAAACGAAAAACTAAAACGCATCTCTGCCCCTATTCTTTTTTTCTCTTGTGACAGTCGTAAATCAATAAAATTAATCAAACAAGCGTCAACAAAAGCATACTTATCAGGACATAAACCAAGAATAATAGTTCGGATAAATGAAGCCGATTAAAAGCGAAGTATATACAAGAAATACAAAAGGAGACACACGCGTGAACAAATATATGATACGTTTCTCATTTTTTTCTTAGCATCGTGCTTCACGCATGTGTCTGTTCTTTCTGTATTTCTTGTATATTCTTCGCCTTTAACCGGCTTCACTTATCCGAACTATCACTTTTCGTTTATGTTTTGATGCCTTCATATCATGCATAGTGATGAGTTCGCACCGTTCCAAAGCCCAGCCCCGGAATTCAATTATTTCCATGTATTATATATATTTATACATGTATTTATATCTATCTTAATTCACCTAGACTTTTGTGTTCCTTAACGTACGTTGCCGTTGAGCGAAACGATTATCCGAGGAATAAAACACGGCTCAACCAGGATCGGTTTTACATCGAAAAGCTTCATTGATAATTAATCTGATGGTGATCAACTTTCTCCTTTCGCGTAATGTATATGTATAGTATATCTCTCGTATTAAATAAGGTTGTCACACATGACTGTTTTAATTCTAAAATATATTCCCGTTCAACAATTCGGTGATCGATCGACTAACGCGAAAGTAAGGAGCTAAATGAAAACAGCAGCACCGTGTAAAAATAGAACGAGCGCAAGAACCTTTCACGCATTTCATCGCGAAATAGTAACACTGTTTTTGCACAAAAATATGAGCGATTTCAGGTTTGCCCTGAATCAACAGTACCTTCTCCCTCTTTCGCAATAAACGGTGTTTTCTTGTGTATCGATTAAAAAAATTAAATACAAAACTGGTGCTAAATGTAGGTTTTGAGCATATTTTTTTCGTATGAAAAAATAAACGTTCTCGTCTCTGTACGCATCGCGTACGAATGAAATCGTACATCCGGTTACACGATAACAGTTGAGATCGTCTATCAAATAAAACAGGATCTTTCTATTTTCCTTCATTTAGTTTCGATCATCAAACTTTTCGAAAACTGGGGCATGGTACGTGAACTAATGATGCATCCTATCCGTACACCGTTTCTTATCGCATGTTCTATACTCTAGAAAACATATTTCATAGCGCAGCTGGGCCACGAAACGGAGAGAGGCGCTGAGACGTAATTAATGATGATTGTGTTTATCGTTTGATCGATTAACGGGTGATTTCAGCTCTGATCTTGCGACAGGGCACCGTATTTGTTACCCAAAGAGAGCTTCGGCGCTTGAGCTTGCGCATCCTGCACGCTGTACGATCTACTTCCGCCTCGATTACGTACTTCCTCGAAAGTACCTTCATCTCGTTTCCTGAAGTGAAATTATTGTTCATGTGTTATACACTCAAATGATTCTTACGATGCTTTGAACAAAATCTACAAACAATCGATAAATCTAATCATCTTACCGTCTGCCCCATGGCCCGACTGGCTCGTTGCTCTGTTGCTGTTTAGTATTTAAAGTTGGGAAGTATTCTTCACTGTGTATATCTGGTGCTATGTTCTTTGCTCGTGGTCTGGGACTAGGAGCTGATGGCTGAACTCGTAAATGTGGTGGTTTATAACTACTTCCTGATGAAGTAACAGGTGGTAGCGGTGGTGGAGCTGTTTCTATCACTTCTGGCTGTGGAGCAAGTTCAGGTTTCTTCCATGGACCAGAGTGCTTGGTACCACCTTCTCCTGACTCTCCATCAGAACTGTTGTCACCTGTGCCTTTCTCATCGTCAGACTCAGCGTCTACGGATTCATTGACTGTCAGGTTTCCAATTTTCAGCCCAGTGTAGTCCTTCTTCTCTTCTTCAAACTCTCTCCATTCATCTTCGTCCTAAATAAATGCATGAGAAGCACCCATGAAATGATGAAAGAACAGTTGCATTTGATACTGTGGGCGATTTACCAGGATTTCGTAGAGGTGTTTTAACGAAACTTATATTAAAGGGACGAGGAAGGTGGACAGAAAAAGGAATAAAAACTGTTCGTTCAGAAAAATTGATTCTCCATTGAAAAACCATCGAAACAACTGTGCACAATATCTCAAGAACAGCTGCTGTGTTTTAGGCAAGTTCACAATGGACACAACCCGCAGTCGCGCAACGATCTAATTATATAACGAACAATCAAATCATCTGACACCGATGTAAGATGAATCATATTAAATTTCAAGTGTCCAAATGACTAGATTAATTTCGGCAATCGTAAGAATGACGTTTGCACGAACAAATATGGCAGCAACCTATGGCACACTGTTAATCGGTAGTTTCGACGTAAACGATTCACGATTCGACAAACGGGAATATAAGGGAAAACTGAACACGGTGTGGAACACACACGAAACAAACGGTTGTTCACCTCGGTCTGTAGAGTCTCCTCGCCTTCCGGGTTCAATGGTTTATCTTTCGATTTCTTCACCAACCGTTTACCCGTTTCTTCCAATTTTTTCGCTATTTCCTCCGTGGTCGTGAATTTTTTCCCTTTTGCTTTCTTGCGATCCTTTTTCGCGAAGAAATCGTCCAAATCGGCCATACTGTAATCACTTCCGCGATGCACACGCGATTATCCGTCGAGAAGGCTTTTTCTTTAAGGGAGCACGAGGGACAGCCTTTACACGGAATGATCGGAGGCACCGCTGCTGCTGTCCACATGGGCTTGTCTTAGCCGGAAGTCAGCTAGTCACTTCGAAGTCAATGGAGTTCCTAAATACGGGCACGACTTTCGCAGAGACTGATTTACGCATACGAAAATACGTGAATTAAACGCGCCGCGCGATAACACGGGTTTCTTATCGGTGTATATCGCTTTAATTTTACGAAACATTGAGATATCTTGTCCTCAACAACGAATATGTGGCGCTGGCTGTCTAGCAGAAGACCGACACAAAAAATCCAAGGGCTACCTAACCTACAAATTTAATCGCGTGCCTCGAAATTACATAGTCATCTGAGCGGTTTTAAGAAAGTTGTAAATAACAGTCCTGTTGTGTTACTTACAGATCGTGACTCAAGCTCAAGAAATCGTGGGTAGGGGTAACACGTGCTAAAAACGTGACTCGTGCAGAGGTTAATTGATCCACAATTTTTGCGTGCAGCGTGTACCATCGATGGCGCCACGAGTTCCTTCGTATCACTTCCGGAATACGAAATGACGCACGAATTCAGACAACCATATTAGCCTTAACAAAATAATCATTTTTCTCCTCAATCACGCTCGTGTTTTTCGTACGCGTGCTTTATTGACTTCTATACGTCTCTTTACGTTGTTCGCATTAGAAGACTTTAAATGTGGCTACGTTTATAAGTAAATAAACAAGACATCCTATACACAATCGAAAAGGCATTCCACATCAACTACTGTATTTCATCTACGTTGCAGCTATGGTACATCTGTACAGTTGTACACACTTTCTTCGTTGCACGTTAAACATTATACAAACATTTTTCTAAAAACCTTTACTAAAACTACTGAGGAGATACTCCTCGGTACTAAAACTTGTCACAATTTCAGTAAATGTCTACTATGAGAAAGACAGAGTCTTCTTCAATTCTGTTGAGATTACTTCATAATCTAACATATTCAACGAAAATCTGTTAGTAACCAGATTTTTTGTAATGCAACATTATTAAAAAATGGCAGATACAATTGTTACTTTGAATTTAGCGCTTCGGGCAGCCCCACTTTTTATCCGTTTTGGTAGGGGTTACGCGGCCGCGCATACGTGAGCAAACATAAAGGGGATCCGTGATCCGTTTCCTCAAGTACCAGTAAGTAACCGTGTGCACCGTGTGTAGTCTGTGTAGTCAGTCGGTGTAGTCTTGTCACGAACCGTTACGACCAGAGGTGTCTCCTATCCTCGCATCGGTGTACTGCACGGTGAAGCTTTACTATTTAACCCGCCTGCAGTAAATATCTTGATTTGGCAAAGATTCGACAATCATCGCTTTTTTCAAAACTCGTTCACTGATCACGAGAGAGGAGCAAAGATCAAAAGGAAAAACCGATCCAGTAGTTCACAAGGTTCATGTGTTACGACGCACAACGAGATGAAGCTCACACGAAAGTGTTTCGGGAGCATCAGCAAGATGTTGGACTTTTACTCGCAATTCAACCCCTCGCCGCTTTCGATAAAACAGTTCATCGATTTCGGTAAGTGTGAAACGAACAATCGAAAAACACAACATATTTTACGAGCAAACACTGTACAACTCTCCGTTCGACTGGCTCCGAATCTCGAGAGTTCACAGACTACAGACCTAGGTCAATACCTTCTTTACCTCTTCTTTTCGGGGATGTTTTCCATCCCTTCTTATCACTCGTCTGAATAGGTAAGGGGAGTAACGAATATATCGAACAACGACCTCGAATAAACTTAGGATATCGTATTCAGGGATGTTTCGGTTAAAAAATCATGTAACGTACCCGTGGCATAGTACTCGTGACGAGTTTATATACGTTCGTGCGTTACAGTTTCACATTTTAGCGAGTGGGTGTTAGTAATGACGTTTTCGTATCACTTGATTTTGACACAGCTGGGAAATTGGTTCATTCACGATCATTTTTTATCAATCTTACGTTCAACTGCGACGTCCAGATAAAATCGATGACAGAGTTCTACTAGTAGAGTATGAAATTAAGAATATGAGATGATGTAATTGTATATTACGCGCCACTAAATACATAGCGTAACTGAATTTATTTTCCATTTAGGATCTTCATAAAATATAATATCTAAATATAAAAGTAAGCGATTAATTTAGACCCGAGAAAAATACATAACGTTAGAAGTACAATTATCACTTTAAGCAAATAAGTAAAATCTTTAATGCTCATGATAACAATTGAACAATCTGTTGATCGATTTTTTATGAATCAATAAAAAGATTTCTTGTGAGTATTAGTAGTTTGTTTTACATATTACATAATAGATAATACTTTACATTGAAGATACTAAAGGAAATGAAATATTGAGTGGAATTTACCATAAAACTGCAAAGGGTTCAAATCGAGAAGGGATTGTCGTAGTGATCGGAAGTGCGGTAGAATATTATTTACATGTATTGTGGTTCTTCGGTAAAAATATCAGAAGTATTGTAAGTAAAGTAAATCACGGTGAAAGCAACTTCCAAGGCAGACATTCCAGACATTTTCTATACAGTACCTCGAACAATGAAATAAACTCGGAATTATGTTTACAAAAAAATGTGATGGAAGATTTATAATGTTCCACGGTTGATCATTGCAGTCCAGGTTCATAAAAATTCCCATGTTTTGAAAACATTTAATGTAGACACCGTCGATTACTGAATTATTTGGTTGTTCCAACAATATTTTGGTATTAAATCATAGACTGTAGACATTTTGTCATCGAGATCACATTAAGCCAAGTTAGCTAATTCGCCTTGCATCATCTGTTGATGAAATTGCTTCATCATCGATTAAATTACAAGTTCATTGATCTGTTTTTATTTTAATAATTTTTATCAGAAAGTTACTCTTAAAAGTTTTTGTTGTATTGTAAAAATTTTTTAAATGATGAAGAATAATAAATTCTAATTTAGTAGCTAAATGCGTATTATATGACTCATGGAGAAAAAGAAATGTTCCTACTCAATTTACACGGATCTTATTTTTAGAACAAAAATTATTTCCGACCATATCAGACATAGCAAATACTGAATGATGTATCTTTTTCTCATTCACTAATAGCCTCTCTGTTTCGTCTCTCACTTTTTTGTTTTCAAGTTGTCGAATAACACACGCACGCAAGTCAAGCGATCATCACGCATTTCAACATCGCATATTGTTCTCATGTCGCTAATGAATCGCGAACGTCTGAATAGGTGGCTCGATCGCGTACGTCACAACAACGTAAGAGATAGTCTAATTAGCACGTATTTGATAACTATCTATAAACAAGACTTACGTAGTATAGTATTTGTAGACTGTATCCAAATTGGAATTTACAAATTCTTATTGATACGATCGATACTGAAGCTTATCTTGCTTTTTATTGTTAGGTACTTTAAGATTAATACAAATGCCCCGCTTTTCATAGCAAGGTCAGGATCCAAACGATTTCCTGTGATACGCGTAACCGGCAATATTATCACGGTAGTATCGCGTAAGCGTTTGTTTATTGAGTCGACTGTATAGCAGGCAAACATGCTAATGACTCGAGTCACGAGCTGCAAATACATGCATAATATCCTACCTTGCCTTTGATCCTCTCAGCCTGCAGTTTATAATTAAGAAGAATAATTCATTCATTGATTCATTTTAAGGTAAACAACCAGCTAAACACGCCGGCTAAGACTTTATCGCATTTAAAAAAAATCGTTCTCCGACGGATAGATAATAAGTAATATCGAGTAAAAGGTAAAAATGAAACTGAAACAGTCTGATAACGGCGACCGACTCTGGCAATAAATATTGACCCGCCGCCTTTTAAGCCACGTGTGGCGACCAATACTTGGTAAATCTGGTTCACATAAACCGCTTTAACCACAGCCTGCTTGATAAACCAGGGCTCTGTAAATACAAGGTACATATACATATGTATGTACTATTTTTCAAATTGTTCTCTTTTGTGCTAATGTTTCCTAAATTGTTTAAAGAATGATCTATACAACCCGATAGATCACTTGATAGACGGATAATATATTTGAGAGGTACTAGAACAGTCAGTAGTACTAGCGAACTGGTGTAATCCAATCTAAAACTTCTTGCATGTATTAATAAATTTTTAGCAGATGCCTTTAGCGAGAATGGAAGGTCGATCGATTGATTTTGCAAAGGCAAACTATCTGCCAAATTTGGTCACTACCATTGGCAGGTTTTACAGGCGTTATAACAGCAAGTGCATTATTAAAGTTATTGGAGAGTTGCCATTTCTCTCCCATTCGATACATGCAGCCATTTAAATTTTTAGACTTTGTACTTTCGTTTCTGAATGCTTGCCCATGCGGGTCTGACGTAAATCTATGTATCTTCCATCAGCTCCGAATTCGTACACTATTCTTGACGTAGTTTTCTCAGAATGATGTTGATCATTTAGTTTGGATACATGAAAGTCAGGGCCATCTTCGGGCTACAAGTCCTGGCACGAAATACAAACTTAATCTTGTCGATGAGTTTTCCATTAATGACGACCAGATTGTATTCTTTGCTTACGTTTCCAGGGGGAAGTTTTCACAAGCTAAAGAGTTTGACGGAAAGAAAGTTCCATTCTTTGAGAATCGACTATATAAATTGTCGAGTGACTTTGGCCGCAGTCCTGTTGCTGCTCTTTCATGTATGTAGTTATTTCCACTTTTCCTATTCTTAATTTAACAGTAGGACCGATTGACATCTTTTCTCCTTGCTATTTTTTTTCTTTACTCGTAATACTTTAATTCTAATAGGACATGAAACACAACTCGATAGAGTTAGAATACATAACAGCTCGTAATAAAAAATTTGCTAACGTAGCAACTCTCCCCTATGGAGGGACGAAATATAATACAGAATGAAATTTATAGTGCACATGGTATGTCTATATTTATCGTTTCTCTGGAATAACAACGTTTAAATAAAAACGCGGACAAGGACTCCCGTTATATTATCGATGGTCTCCAGTGCAACCGTGACTCCAATCGATTCTTTTATTTCATAACATTTACAATCGGTTCACTAAATTACTCATTCGTTTTTCCTCCCTTCACTCGTATCGAAAATGTTGTTTACCCGAGCTCTTTATTAGCGTCAATTGTCTCCATATGAATTGACACTAATTCGGTCATTTACCATACGTTGTACCTATACGTCTATGCTCGGTGCAACGTATTCTATTCACGCAGTCGGTGTCATGAGACGTGCATTGGCCTATGCACCGACGATACCGTGCGTGTGCGTGCCTACTTTACACATTCAGATTAAGGCTTTAAAACTAAACAGCTGCTTCCTCCGACCGATTATAGCCGCCCGTCGACCGTTCTAGAACCGAGTATAGTATGGGACATGGGACGGAAGGCGAATGCCTTCGTAATCACATACTCACGTCCATGACCAATCATTGTTTTTTTTCAATAATGATAAGGCTCGCCTTATATTGTTTGATTAAAAAACTTGATTGTAAACGTAATAAACTAAAGTGGCTTTAAGTATAATGTTCAATTTAATATCGATGCCCACGCCATATGTTACAATAAACAAATGTTTGTTGAATACCTAATATGTTGGAGTGAAGATAGTGGGTTATCGTTCATTTGCACACACTGTTATCTTGTACGGGACATCTGCACATGTTGGTACTGTTCGCATAGGCGATTAGGGTGTTCCCAACAAGTTCCGTCTGTTATGGGAGAAGCAAGTACTCGGAGCCACAGCCTGGACGAGTTTTTATCCCATCGATGAATCAGGTTTACGCTGGAACAAGTGCTTACTATCCGCCCCTTCCAAGATATCCGACGGCTGATCGACTTTCAACTGAGCTGATGAATCTTCCGGGTTAACTCAAGGTCGTCCGTCGATTTCAATTTCTGGTTTCATTTATTTTCTCATGCAATTATTTACGAAGAGAAAATTCATTTCCACGCGCTACGACTACGGAAAAGCAGTCTTTGGTCACAGTACCAGTACGGTACTTCTATTACGCAAGAATGACTCACGCATTATACCAAATAAGCAAATAGTCACGAGTATCTGCTGATTAACATTGTATCAAACATATCTCCTCGTGTGTTAAATAATATAATTATAAATCGTCCAATAAATTTTTAACACGCTTTAACTTAACAGGAATCATGAATTATTCCTTTCAGGGAGATACGTTTGAACAAAACTATCAAAACATATTCATCAAATTTGGCAATGGTAATTAGAACATTTGCAAGTTGCTTTTTATTCAGCTGTATAAACCTATTGACTTTTCGTAGAACGATAGGAAATTAAGCTTTGTCCGTTCCACGAATATTTTGTGCCACACGATTCAACTATTCAAAATGTGACTGTATTTATTTTTTTTTCGGAAACTGTTTGCCAAGCGAATAAGGCAAATTATCATACCGTTTCGATAATTTCTATGATGAAACGTCGGCTATTCTTGACACTTGTGTTCATTGATGTCGTCGCGCGTGCAGACAGAAATATTTTCGTAACATTATAATCTTTTACAGCTAAATAAAGTATAGACGTGTGCAGAAAAATTAAGAAATTAAACATACGGCGACTAGCTTATCCGACTATGAATATACATAAAACGTTGTTAGATTTTAGTACACATCTGTTTACATATGCGTAGTAGAATTTATAAATATGTACGTATGAATAGATGAATTTTCTTCATAAAGAACTTCGGACTATGAGCACGCAGTTTTTCTCTGCAAAACTGAGTATAGTCGTCGGTCACAAAAATATTTTCTACACACGGGAGTTACGTGATGGTTCGACACCATTCTTTCCTGCCTTTAAATTTTATTACAGTCGCCACGGTGTGGCATTGAGTCATCGTAACGTTCATTGGAAGCGAGGCCATTTACACGAAAACATTTCCACATCCTTTATTCTATTATGTCAATCCTGCACTAAATTAGATTCTTTACAACCACAGAATCACATTAAAGATGTATAGGCTATATATACTTAAACGATGCTAACATGTTGAATTTGTTATTATAGATTCCTATTACTACTAGAAAGCTACCTGTAAAATTTTTAATTAATTCATGGGTTTTTTGAAAAATTATAGTGACTTAAAATTTGCATGTACTCTCATGGTAATCAGCAATAACCTAAAGAAAACTTTACTTTGATCTCGAAAATAACCCAGAAAAAACGGTAATAAATTCCTGAAATTTTTTATCCAAAATCATTGTTCTTCCGACGTCTGATTTCTTTTTAATTATAGGAAATGCGTTTTTCTAATGTATACATAAACTTTTGGGATTGACTGTATAGCCAATACATCCTTAAGTGAAGCTGATAAAAATGGAACGTCCTACATTTTATATTTTACCAATTTCATAAAAAATTGATTAACCTTTTGAAAATCAGTAAAAATAGAAGTAATTTCACGATGAAGACAAAGAACCTTGAGCCGTTCAAGAAAATTGATTTAAGGTTGTTTAGCTGACCCTGTTAAAACGTTTGCGGCCATCGTCATCTTCCTGAATTAAAGATAATGTCTCATGGCTCACAGTACGGTTAATCTTGTCAAGTTCGATCTATCTGGACATTTGATCCTCGATGTCCGATCTACTGAATAAAAAGTACACTTGGATGGACTTTTCATTTCTCTAAAGGTATAATTTCCCGCAGCGTCAGACTTGCGCGTTTGGACGTAAGCGTGAAGCGTCTAGTGTGAGCGTTCACATTCAACTTTCACGACTGAATGTCGCACCCATGCACACAAGCATGCATTTTTAATATACTATATAATTTGACTAATTGAATGTATCAAAAGTTAAAATTACTTTATTATGTTACATTATATATTAAAAGTGAAAAATACGTGCTTGTTTGCGTGGACGCTCATACTAGACGTTTGATGCTGCGGGTAAATCTTACCACAGAATTTATAAGACATCAAAGTTTGCGCCGTTAATCGACTATAATTATAACTTCCATGCACGTGCTACAATACTTTGTGGCTCGTTTTTCTGCACTTTACGTAACTCTGCCATTGAAGAGTTTTTATCTCGTGAAAATTGAGTTGATGATGATTACTTACAATGATGTGAGTTTCCTGCAGAAACTGCGTTTGCGAATTTGAATAAATACAGCATCAGTTGAAAAATGATTCTGTCGGTTTGCAATTTTTTTCAGACGCGATATAATATTGTTACATTTTCCCTGATTCTTTAGAAAACAATGTAGCATCATAAATAAAATTCGAATAATGAATCGATTCGTTTGAATCTTTAATAAAGAACACGCGACGTCGGTTTTGTAACACCTTCTTTGTACTCACATGTATATGTATGTATAGTTAGCAATGCGTCACTCAACGTATATGCTATTCATTCGTCCCTGTACAGAAGGCAATCTAAATTACTTTGTTCTCTGTGAAATGCAGATAACATCTTCTCGTCAGTGCAACGGTAATGCATATTTGTTGAACCGTAGCCTTCACGTGCAACTGTACGAAACTTCGTAAACGTTTTGTCCCAACGTTAATGAAATACGATTCTTCACGAATCTCCGACCTTAGAAAGTAACCGTGATTTTCTTGGCAGATCATCGAAGCGGACTATGTACTGTGCCTTGAATGAAAAACTATTTTCGTGTAAATGAGCATGAACCCGTTTTAGTTTCAACGATTACGTGCTTAATGTCCATGTGAACAAAGTCTAAAAGCCGAAAGACTTCATTTCTGATTACATGAAACATGTAAACAAGCATCACGAGAACATATCATCTTCCGCCCGTTCATTTCGCCAACTTCAGAAGTCGCATCGATTAGATATATCTTTTATTTCTATTTTCGCCTTATTATTAATCTAGCTAATGCTTTAAGCGTCCCTCGCTCATGACGGAAGCAACGGACGAGTTATCAGTCGCGACTGGCGATTAGTAATTTCTTTCTGACCATTATTCATGGATCTTTTTGTTTACGTCTGGCCAGCTTTTTCCGCATTAGTTAATGCGGCTCTATACATGGTTGTAAAAAAGTGGATAATTCAAAGGTTTTTTAACATCCACGAAGATATACAACCAGTCCAGAAACGTGGAGATAACGTTCGAACGAACGAGTGTTTGTCATACATGCGAACAAACATATTGTTATCAAACTTGTTTATCACCTTTAAAAGACAGATTCATTTTTCTCTATATTCTTGCCAATGATCGAACTCGATAAGCTAAATCCGGATACACTACGATGATTTAGACTTACCCAACCGTTATTAAATGTCATCCATGTGATATCGAAGGGTATCGACTTTACGATTCACCTACGAACTCTAACATCTACTCAAGCTATAAAATAATTAGCACATGCGTATTTATCATTTTTTTAATGTGTTCTTTAATCAAATTTCCGCAATACTAAATTTTAATAAACAAACGGAATTTGTACTATGACTTTAATGGAGTTCGAATGTGCAGTCATTTTCACATAAAATTTTTCCGACCCCTATTCAGTCTGGCTCGTAGGATATAAGGTCAATACATGATTTCACGGCAATTTATTATCGGCAACCGATTGGACTTGGCAGTGGAACAGTTGCTCAGTGATTTACTCTATTAGGAGGGAACACAATTTCCTTTAATGGAAAACCTGGCGTGTGGAAATTCTGATAAAGAAATGCCGTTCCCCTTGTCATTGACTTACACTCCTTAGTACACAGTCTGATGTTAAATAAGTTACGAAATAGTTAAGTTAAATAAGTTATGAAATCAAACAGATGCTAATTAAATGAATATTTGGAATGCAGAATATGGAATTGTGAAACGTAATTTCAATAGTAAAGTGATACCTCGTTCGCGACATAAAACAATGCCGTACTCGAAGAAACTTATCGGTATTACCTGACCTCTTGACTAATGTAACATAAGGTAAACAATCCAATTATGCAGCGGAGTCAAACTTATTGTGCGATGAAAATATATCGCTAAACGACTACGTAAATGATGGTCAGAACTTACAATATACTTTTCGCGTCCCTTTGCACTTTATTAAAAAACATTCACTCTACTTATCGTCGATCAATTTGCTTGACTTTCTCCACCCAGTAAATCGATTTTACTGGAAAACAATTTATAGACCATGTCTCCTAAACCTATTCTATTGAGACAGTTCTCCTTGCATGCGACCGAGAACCTTGATATTCTTTCACAATTACATTATTTGTCGACCGAGTTCTTTTGAAATCATAATTATTCTGTCGTTCAATTAGTCTATCCAGAAATGATGAGTAATTTCTTTAAAAACTGGTTGTCGGTACCTCGATGCGAGGCTAATACAAACATTCTATACGTCGTGAGAGAACTGATAAAACGGTCTCAATCTAACCAGGGTCGTGTCCATGCGATCATATATTCTAGAGATAGTAGCAGGAAAATAAAAACAGATACGCGTATATGTTTATAGTTAGATATGCTTTCAACTACTGTCTATGTCATAGATTCTATGACCTACTTGTAGCTTCGCTAATGTAACATTACAATACGTACGTAGTGACGCGACTGCATTCCCCTCTAATCTATGTTTTCAAACATACATAGATCCCTGTTGTGCGCAGATGTTCCTAATTAAATTAATTGTAACACCAATAAAGTTTTTTTTATAATAAGACATAAATGTTTCATTCGTAATTTATGACCACGAATGAAAGCATGTTTTGTAAAAAATCGTTCTCCTTTTCCAACAAGACAGACGAGATTGCACAACTGAGTTGTTTGCAGAGTTCGTCGGACTGTATGTCTTAGATTCATCAAAACAACACTAAATAAACTCTCTTTGATAGGAGGTTTATATCGCTGAGATAAAATCGTACGATGCTATTACAGTTTTCCTTTATCATTCCTCCTTCCCATACATCATAGACTAACAGTTATGAACGCACGATACACTTAACAACAATAAATAAAGCAATGTATCAATATAATTACAATAAATCATTGCAATAATAAATTATATTATTAACAACGATTATATAGTATAATTAGAAAATGAATTACATTGTTTTAGGTCTAAGTGCGTGCGAGAGGAAGTCTTTTATATTTCTAAGGAAAGAACTACCGGTCCGGCTCGCTAACATTATGAAAGAGATCCACCTACTACCGGACAACTTACTGAAAATGCCCAGTGTGGGTATAGTTAATAAAATGTATGCCACTTCATTCGAGGATATTCTGCAGTTCGAAAAAGTCGAAGTCAACGAGGCCACTCTGGACACGTGAGTCTCCGGCTCTTCGGTCTCAAGATTATATATAAAGATTCGATATAAAGATTCGCGTTTGATACGTTTGGCACAATGCTTCGCGTACAAAAATACAAGTCTCTCTGTTTTAAATAAAGTAAAATGTTGATTGTTCTTTTTTTATAGATTTTGCCAGACTTTAGTAAAAATCCGGAACAGGCATAAGGACATCGTTGAGACGATGGCGCAAGGTGTCTTGGAACTGAAAGAATCCCATGAAGTTGACGTTCAAACGGAGAACAATATTCAGTATTTTTTGGATAGATTTCTCATGTCTCGAATCTCAATTCGTATGCTGATCAATCAACATAGTGAGTTGATTACTCGATAATCGCTTATTCGTTTGATTTTGTTTAGTAGATTTTCAGTCTGGCACAAATGTCTCTGTCTTTGTTTCTGTTACAGCTCTTCTATTTGGCAATGAACTGAATGGGCACAGTACGCACGTAGGATCCATAGACCCGTCGTGTGACGTTATCAGTGTTGTGAAAGACGCATACGAGAAAGCGAGGTTGCTATGCGATCAATATTATCTGGCTAGTCCGGAACTGATAGTCAAGAAACATAATGGCAAGTTTGAAAAATGTTGATTGTACTCTAGAGTATTGTAAGTAGTAATGATATAAACAATTTTCTGTAGTAGGTATAGTGACAGTGATAGAAGTTGCCATCGTGAAACCTTTGATTTCAATTTCACATTGAATACAGTAAATGCAAGAAACTAAATGTAGTTTTTAAACGTTGGGTGATAGAGAAGCTTTCAAGGTGGCAATTTGCCTCAGATATTGTGATAAATATTGCGAGAAAATAGGTATAATAATTAATCACATGCCAAATTCTAGAGAAAAATTTACTTTGATTAAGAAGTCGCATCTCATTGTTATTCATTCGTTTCTTTTCAGAATACGAACGATGTAGCGAAATCAGAATAGTTTACGTGCCGAGTCATTTATTCCACATGCTGTTCGAATTGTTCAAGAACAGTATGCGAGCTGTTATGGAACACCACAGCGATAGTTCGGATTATCCACCAATAGAAGTGATCGTATCGCGTGGCAAAGAAGACATTTGCGTCAAAGTAAGATTTACAAAATCATCATCTCGTTGTTATAAATGTCTCTCGATGTTATCAAACTGATAACATCAGATTAGCGATCTGATTTATAAATAAAAAATCCGTTCGTGTAGAAATCGTATTTAACGTTGTCAGTATTGATATTCAAGCTTCGATATCTGACACGTGATATGAGACATGTCAGTTGAAACGTTGACGAAACACTTCATATTCGTTCATGATAGCTTCGAATTAATTCTCGTTTTATCGATAATTCTTACAGATGTCCGATCGAGGTGGTGGTATACCTCGCTCACAGATGGACCATTTGTTCAAGTATATGTACAGCACGGCACCAAGGCCGACCACAACCGACCCTCTTGCTGTGCCGCTTGCTGGATACGGTTACGGTCTTCCAGTATCTCGATTGTACGCTAGATATTTTCACGGTGATCTCGTTCTCCAGAGTTGCGACGGTTACGGTACCGATGCCATCGTGTACCTCAAGGTAAGATTCCGTGATCTCCTGATTGCGCAATACACGTCTACTAATACTTTATTCTCGGTACGAACCGTTTCACTCTATAGGCTTTATCGAACGAAGCCAATGAACTGTTGCCAATCTTCAACAAGACTTCATCCAAGTTCTATCGAACCCAAGTATCGAATAGCGACTGGAGTAGTCAGTGTGGTGGCGGAATGGCCACGAGGCAACTACGTATGAGCAACTTTCAAGGGTACAAGCTTCCACAAGGAATGGAAGTCAGGCAATGCTAGCGAAATTTTAGTCCTATGGATCAAAGAACGGGGAAGTAAGTACGCAGATATTTCTTCTCGATGATTCACATTTCAAGAGTTGCTAATCAATTTAGAATCAATATCTATGCAGTATTTATAATACGTCATACAACGTTTAATATCGGAGATTATGTGCCAATCTGAGACTTATATCAAATACAAAGAAATACAGCACACATAATATTTCAAAATAGTTAGATATTTTTCACCGTGTCCGCACATGAATCGTTCTTAATGTTTCAGTGTTTCCTCTTTAACGAAATATTTCGCTAATGAATTCTAAACGATCGACGGAACATCGAAATTCGACAGATTGCTAAGGAGGCTCGAAAAACAGCTTTGAAACTTTCGTGTGTCACGTAGAAAAATAACATGACGATCGATAGCTCCTGTAATCGGATTCGTATTTTCCACGACAATTTGTGATCATTGCTTATGTCGAATATGTGAAATAACTGGTTACTCGTTATATCTATGATTACGATACCTAACATATCACAATTATTGAAAGTTACATCTTAGGTTTTTTGTTATTTTCTTTTTTCTTATCTTGACGTAATGATGAAAATGATGAAACGGATGGGGCATCCAGATAACACTAAGAGCTTGTTTTTTCAGACAATTATCTGAACGCCCCGTTAAAATTATTTTCCTTTTTTTATACATTTACATAGTAGTATCTATCATTGAGAAAGCATTTTAATCATATGATTAATTATGAAGCATTTCTTTTTCGAACAAGAAATAATACGGACGAATGTGATAGATTCGTGACAAGGGTTTTCTTACAACTTGATGCGACGAAATGTGAACTGTGATTGATGTACGATTTTAGTTGAATTTCATAAGTAGGCAAACGTTAAGCTCGTTAATGTTAATCATGTTAATTAGATTGACTATCTTTAACTGTACAAAGAAAAAAAAGATAAAATTGATAACTTAAAGATTACTCAAAAATTGCGAATTATACAAAGTGATATATACGTCGCAACAAGACTAGTTGGAAAAAAAGAGTGATATATTATACGTATTTACTTCATTCTCCTCGAAAGTATTTTATATACCGTGAAGAAGTAAGTGCACACACATCACTTCAATGACATTTTTCATGAACTTTTATAAAACTAAACGAACAATTTGTACACAATACATTTCTTTCCTGGGAAACGATATGATTCTCGTACGTGTCTCATTTATACTTTTCATGTATTCTATGTGCATTTTTTCGTAACGGATGTGTTAATATCGACTCGAGAAATTGAAATGACTACTGTAAGCACTACCAAAAGGGCGTACTTAGAGCGTATCATGAATAATTGTTCCTAAAATCAGTAAACGTACACGATACGAAATCGTACGAATTGTACCGTATGTGGAAAATAGTATCACATTGGCAATCGTTTTTTAAATGTGAATGTACTCTGTATGTTTTCACGTGTATATGTGTAATCTTACGTTTTTTAGAGTAATCAAAATTATGTTTGTCCATGGGACAATTTCTAGGAATAATTACTGTAGGGACATTCGTGTGCATAGCACGAATAAAAACTTATAAAACATTGTTAATAAACATATTGTAAGATAAAGGAATAGCTTATAAAACATTGTTAATAAACATATTGTAACATAAACGAATAGCTATTCTCCTCCTCGATCAATTGTAGGGAACTTATAGCATTAGGAGAATTAACAAGGCAATGATTTTTTTAAGCAAAGTCGTAGGAGCATATAATTGATTTAAAATATGCGTAAAGGGATGTTGGAAGTGGTGCATTTTGAAGATGGCATCGTTCAAACGGCCGATGGCATCGTAACTTGTCTATCAAGTAAAGTATACAAGACAGGCGTTGTAATGCATTGCTGTACTTTTATTACGTTTGGCCATGCGTACCGTAAGTATGAGGTTTGCGCTTAACAAATGTTCCTCTCCCACTGCACGCTTGCCAAATAGTAAAAAGTACATCTTAGCAATAACAATAATTTTCATTTATAAAATAACGCTACCCTATTTACACATCTGGCGTTTATCGGTGTGCTCAAGTGACTCAACAAAACGTTCTACAATTAGCGTCGACAAGTGAAAAGTGAAATTCGCAATTGTTGTCCATTGTACGATACTTGAATATATTTTTCAAGAATCGAACAACTGACGATGATTTATAAATTAGATTCCAGCCGATTTTTATTTAATAAAACTATTAAAATTGTAATGTA